AAGGCAAATCTGACAGTATTGTGTAGATGGAACAGATAAAAATGGGAATGTTGTATAGTATGAATGGGGTAGAAGGAAGAAAGAGATAAAGCTGCTTAAGAGGGCCTTGGAGGGGCTCAGTGGTACAGCACCTGCCTAGCATGTGCCAGGACCCCATGTCTATTCCACGGTACCACCACATAAATAAATAAATAAAAAGGCAGGCCTTCAAAAGTATTGAAGGCCTAACGGGTATGTTGGTACAAAAGGAAGAGAAAGACGAGGGAACAGAATGGTGGGAACATTAAAAGAAGTAGAAAAGAGGTAAAAGAGGGCTGGGGATATATAGCTCATTTGATAGAGTGCTTGTCTTGCATGCATAGGTCTTGGGTTCAATCCCCAGCACCCCACCCCCCCACCACCACACACACACACACACACACACACACACACACACACAGGAAAAGAGTAAAAGATCTGGTAGTATTTGGAGGAGAGATAGTTTACTGATAAGATAACTAGATAGAGGAATCAAGCAGTCTCCTGAAAACATGAATTGTATAAGGACTTTGATACTGGAAATGTTAGTGTTTTGGTTCATAGTTACAAATGCGTACTACCTTATACCTTATATCAGAAGCACAGTAAAAAGAGGATTTAGCCTGGGCTGTCTTGTTTGTTAAGTCAGAAGTATTCAACACTCCAGTGGGCCCTGGGTAGAACACATATACACATACATAAATTAATTTAAATACCTATAGTATTTAATAACTGTCGGCTCTTTGGCAACCTTGCTTTTTCTATTCCTGATTATTTTTTAAATTTTTTTGATACTGAGGATTGATCCTAGGGTGCTTTACTACTGAACCATGTTGCCAGCCCTTTGTTTTTTTGTTTTGAGACAGGGCCTCCCTCACTAAATGGCTTAGGACCTCGCTAAATTGCTGAGGCTGGCCTTGAACTTGGAATGCTCCTACCTCAGCCTCCTGAGCAGCTGGGATTATAGGCGTGCACCACTGCATCTGGCTTTTCTATTCCTGATTGTTTTTTAAAATTAGTTTCTATAGATTTTCTTGACTGAAAAAAATATTTGCATATGGTTGATAATGCAAGCTTCTTTTATAACACTTCCTCCCCAATTATGCTGTTTATTGGATTAAACAGGGCAACTTGGTCTGTAGATTTTTCCCACATTTTGAATTTGGCTGATTGTATCTTTGGCATCTCATCTGAATTGCCTCTTTGCTCCCTATATATCTGGTGACCTGATAGTTAGATCTAAGACTTCATTCTGTTACAACTTCATTTTTTATTTTATGTATATTTTATATTTTGCTAGTTTTCAGAATATTGAGATTTTTCTTTATTATTTTTTTCTTTATTTTATTCACTTACTTATATGTGGTGCTGAGACTCAAACCCAGTGTCTCATACATGCTAGGCAAGTGCTCTACCACTGATTCACAATCCCAGCCCTGTTACAGTTTCTTTCTAAGGGAATGGGGCAAGGAGGGAGTGGGGCAAGAATACTTTCTAGGTGGTGCTGTGTATTTCTGTGTATTCCATCAAGAGGGACTATATGGCCTTGGTGTCCTACTTCTAGTGGTTTGAGACTGATCAACTGAGTGGGACATGGTGGTGCATGTCTTGTAATTCCAGCTATTCAGGAGATTGAGTCAGAAGGATTGCAAGTTTGAGATCAGTCTGGGAAAATCAGAGAGACACTGTCTCAATTTTTTTTTTTTTAAGAAAGAGAGAGAGAATTTTTTTTTTAATATTTATTTTTTAGTTTTTGGCGGACACAACATCTTTGTTTGTATGTGGTGCTGAGGATCGAACCCGGGCCGTACACATGCCAGGCAAGCGCGCTACCGCTTGAGCCACATCCCCAGCCTGAGATTTTCCTTTATTATTTTTTTCCTTTGGTGGTTCAAAGGGTCAAACCCAGGACCTCATGCATGCTAGGCATACCCCATACCCCAGTCGATAATTTGAGATTTTCTAAAGTGTCATTATAAACTCATAACTTCATGTATTTGATGTTTTCTAATCCATTTGCAGTTTCTTCTTCTTCTTTTTTTAATTTTAATTATCCGGTTTGGTCGGTGAGAGCTCCTTTAGGCTGACACCCCTGTCCTTTGGATATGATCCATTCATCTTTGATAGGATTTTGCTCTTGGGCACACAAAATGTTCTAGGATTTCCTTGAAATTTCTTGCCAGACTTGAAATTTTCAAGGAGTGCAAGTTCAAGGAGATTTTTTAAGAAATAAAATTTTCACCTTAAGAAGCCATTAAAAATACAGGTGTAGTGGTGCATGCCTCTAATTCCAGTGGCTTGAAAGGCTGAGGCAGGAGGATAACAAGTTCAAAGCCAGCCTTAGCAACTTAGAGAGACCCTTTCTCAAAATTAAAAATTAAAAAATGGGCTGAAAATGTGGCTCATTGGTTAAGTCCTACTGGGTTCAATCTGTGGTACCAAAAATAAAAGGAATAGTGCAAGATAGAATGCAGTTATGTAAAACGATAGCAGTGTCTCACAGTGTGTTCCAGTGTTTGAAGTGAGGAACCATTGATTGATTCCTGGAATGTTTGGGTAAGGTATTTTGGAAGAGATGAGATTGGGTGAGAGAGAGAGARAAAAAAAAAAAAAAGAGAGAGAAAAACCTGTATGCCCATTGTTGGGCAGAAATAGGAGGTGTTTGTGGGATAGTGAAGAAGCTTGGCTAGAGTATTTTGACTTTGGTCTTGATCTTGGAAGCACAGGGGAATATGAGAATGTTCTCACAATTGAGAGCGACAGGGAAAGTCATACTTTAGAAAGGTTGATCTTCTAACATGGTTTAGCAGTAGTTTAAAGCAGTGGTTTTTGTGTAGGGATCTACAACATAATCTTTGAAAGAAAAAACAAAGCAAAAACCCTAATGTCAGGATCCTATCTTTAAAGTGTTGTATTAGATAAGCGACTTGTATTAGATTTGCTTCCAGAGACAATTTGTGTTTACTTTTATAAATAGATTAAGCAGTAGCATCTTTTTAAATCTAGTTTTTCCCCTTTTAATTAGTGGAGGGGGGAGTCTAGGCTCATTTGCTTTTCAAAAGACTGCTGTGTGATTTTGTTTTGTGTAACTCTGTTTGATTCTATTGAGTCAAAGACTAAAATTCAAAGAAGAGTTCATCCGTTTCAAGTATTCTAGGCATGTGTTAGTGAGCCCATGGATTAGGGGAAGGCAATGAGGAGAAGAGGTAGGGGGGACCAGAACAATGCAAATTTCTGTCTGAAAAGTTTTCCTATGGTTTGTCATGAATAATGTCAATACTAATACAAGGATTCTAAGAGAAGAAAACAAAGATGACCCCAGAACTTAAATAATGGGGCCTGGGAGAATGATGTTAGCAGAAATGGGAAGATTGAAAAATCATTAGTTTGGGAAAGAAGATATGGACATGATGAAAGTTGAGATGATGGTTATATATTAAAGGGAACTCTAGGAGGTTGAAATGTGTTTGATGTCATGCTTTATCAGAATGCATCATCTTTTTGGCATGGTACTTAACTGGTGAATACAAGATATGCTATATCAATTGGAGGGTATAATAATTCCCAAAGTTTTCATTTGATAAATGCAATCACAAAAATATTTGATATATTAAATAAAGTACTATTAGTTCCATATAAAGTGAAATGAAAAACAGATTGGAAAAAACATTGCAACATATATATATAAAAATATTAGTATTAAAAATATTGTGCTCATTTAAAGCAAAACCAAAAATCAGCAAATAGGCAAAGACTCAAACAGATGATTCCCACAGCTCGGTAATCCAGTTCATTAATTTATTTGTTCAACAGACACTGAGCTCTTCAAACAGGTACTGTTCTAACTGCTAGCACATAGGACAGGAGATCTCTGAATACTTTGGTATGGCCTGAGAGATGGACATTGATACTACTGCTAGGAGAATTAGTGCACTGAGGTAGAGAGTGACTTGGGGTTTTATTTTTTGCCTTTTCCTAGGGAAAACATTGGTAGTGTTGTGCCACTGAAGGTTAGTATTTCTAAACTGTTTAATTATGTGGAAAAAAATTGGTCAGATTTAAATACTGGTTGGGTTCCCTGATAATTGGACTCATAAATACTTTTCTTTTTTAACTTTTCCCTTTTCATTTTATTCATGAATATTAATAGAGTAATGAATAGAGTGTAGACTTCTTCCTGACTAGAGAGAGAGAGAGAGGTTGTTTCTTGTGGAGATTACATACTTTTTTTTTTTTCACTGAAGAGTGTTGATGTTGTTCTGTTGGGATGGGAATTATTCCTCAGAAAATATTAACATTTTTTTTTTCTGGCTTCTTTTAGTAGTGAAATGTAGTGATTTCACTACATTCTGCCGAGAGTCCCTGGCACATCTGAAGTGTAGGACCTGAGTCTGTGGGAATCTTCTTTGCTTATTGTGTAGAGTGCTCCTGCGGGTCAAATGGGATGCATGCCAAGGAACTTCCAAGTTAATTACTACATAGGGGTAATTAAAGGAGCCAGCACAAACTTATCTCTGTCCTTTGCTGTTTAATTACACATGGTATAACCAAATGGTTCAAACTGTAATTAAAAGTATAAAATTCAATACATTGCTTTAAAGAAAGGAAATAGGGGGTTTGCAGATGGGAAGTTAGCTGTTCAAGGAACTCTTTTAACAAATAAACATTGTAAATTTTTCATTTACCTTTGAAGATTGATCCAGAAATACAGAAAGCAAGATAGATGCCTGTTTTTGTTTTTTTTTTTTTTTAGAGTTTTAAAAGTTTAGGGACTTTTTTTTTTAATTATGAGAAGGAGATAATAGAGTAGGAAACCAAATTTCTTTCTTCAATATTTGATAATTTACTACTAGCTATATGACTGTGGGGGAGAAAGGGAATGAGATTTCTAGAAATGAAAATAAGTAGAACTCTTAGGCTTCAGTTTGCTTATGTTTCCTTTAATTTTGACTATCTTGTATGGAACCTTTTTCTTTTTAAAGGAAACTTGAACATAACTTAAAGAAGATTTGATACTTTATTTCTGGACTGCGTATACATTACAAAGGCCATCAGAATGTCGGGAGCCTCAGTGAAGGTTGCTGTCCGTGTGAGGCCCTTCAATTCTCGAGAGACCAGCAAGGAGTCCAAGTGCATCATTCAGATGCAAGGCAACTCGACCAGTGAGTGGATATTCTTTTTTATCAGTTCTGTATCTCACCTTCTTCACCTCCCTCCCTGCCCTTCTTTCTGTGATCAGAATAAATGAACATTTGTATGTTGACACTTTGAACTTTGCCATTCTGAATGATCCATTCATTGCTTCCTCCTCTGAGATATTTGCTGCAATAGTTAAATGTGGACTGTGTATTTTGCTCTTTATAATTGGAAACCATGAATAAATGAACTGATTTAGCTATTATTAATGCCTTCTAAGTAGTTGACATCTTAATGACAGTAAAGATGTAAGCAGTGATTTTATTAAATCATGACATAAAATAGCTATGAAAGTCGAGAGAGAGAGAGAGAGAGAGAGAGAGAGAGAGAGAGAGAGAGAGGATTTTTTAATATTTATTTTTCAGTTCTCAGCGGATACAACATCTTTGTTTGTATGTGGTGCTGAGGATTGAACCCGGGCCGCATGCATGCCAGGCAAGCGTGCTATCGCTTGAGCCACATCCCCAGCCCTTCTTTCTCGATTTTAAATAGCATTTGAACTTGCCAAGATGGTCTTAAAATTTATCTTCCTAAATAGGTGTGGTAACACATGCCTGTAATCAATCTCAGCAGCTAGAGAGGCTTAGGCCAGAGGATCATGAATTCAAAGCCATCCCCATCAACTTATCAAGGATCTAAGCAACTCAGTGAGACCCTTTCTCTAAATAAAATATAAAAAAGGGCTGGGGATGTGGCTCAGTGGTTGAGTGCCCCTGAGTTTAGTCTCTGGTAACAACAAAAAAAAAAGTTTCTGAGATTGGCTTCAAACTTGCAATCCTCCTGCTTCAGCCTCCAGAGTCACTGGGTCATGGGCATATGCCACTGTGCTTGGCCTTCTTCAGTAACGTTTAAATAAGGTTAAACATATTTATTTCCGCAAACATTTATTTATAAAGAAATTTTTAAAAAGGGGGCAGGTGGGCTGGGGATATGGCTCAGTGGTAAAGCAGTCCTGAGTTTAATCCCCGCTACCAAAAAAAAAAAAAAAAAGAAAAAAGAAAGAAAGAATGTAATGTGACTTGGGTCTGTGGGCAAATTATTATTTAAAATACAGGCAGGCTCTTCTATCTTCAAATCTATAATTTTTGCAATAAAGAAGAATCATTGATCTTTCAGACAAAATTCTAAAGTAACCATTTTGACCTCATCTGTCTGCTGGTGGTCAATATTTGTTCCATAAAAGCCAGCTAGATATTGCAGCCCACATTTCAGGATAGTTAATATAGAACTTAAAGTATTTCATTGATAAATGCAGTATAACTTTTCATTTGTCTGATTGTACATGATGTAGAGTTAAATAGGTCATGTAATTATATATGTACAGGGTAATAATGTTTGATTCATTCTACTATCATTCCTACTCCAATATCCCCCCCTAATTTGACGACACCCCCCCCACCCCATTGGCTTCTGCATATCAGAGAAAACATTTGGCCTTTGGTTCTTTGGGATTGGCTTATTTTGCTTAGCATAAGGGTCTCCATTTCCATCCATTTACTGGCTAATTTCATTCTTCTTTAAGGCTGAGTAATGTTCCATTGCATGTATATACTATAGTTTTTTAATCCATTCATCTATTGAAGGGCATCTAGGTTGATTCCATAATCTGACTATTGTGAATTGAGCTGCTATAAACATTGATGTGGCTGTGTCACTGTAGTATGCTGATTGGAAGTCCTGTGGGTATAAACCTAGGAGTGGGATGACTGGATCAAGTGATGGTTCCATTCCAAGTTTCATACTGGTTTTTAAATAAAGATTCAAGTCTTGGGTGCGGTGGTGTGTACTTATAGTCCCAGCTACTCAGGAAGCTGATGCAGGAGGATTGCTTGTGTCCAGGAGTTCAAGGCCAGGCTGGGCAACATAGCAAGACCCTATCTCAGAAAAAGAAAGAAAGAAAGAGAAAAAGAAAAGATTCAAAAATAGTAGTCTAGCCAGGTATGGTGACACATTGCCATCCTTTTTTGTTTTTTATTTTGAGACAAGGTCTTGCTAAGGGCCTTGGTAAGTTTCTGAGCCTGGCCTTGAAGCTGTGATCCTCCTGCCTCAGCCTCCCAAGTCACTGGGATTACAAGCATGTGTCTCCTGCCTCTCAATATTGTTACATTGGGGACTCAAGCTTCAGTCAGAGTTTTGGTGAAGAGAAACCATCTTTAAACTCTTGTAAAGTTTTTCTGTAGAGAAATAAATGTGGGTCTGCTTGTTTTCTGATTTTGCTAATATGGATTAAAACTCACTAAAATGGACCTGGGATGTAGCTTGCCTAGCATGCATGAAATTCTGGATTTAATCCCCAGTACTGGGAGAAAAAAAGAAACCTCACTAAGAGATTATGATTATGATTATATTTTTGGTACTGGGGATTGAGCCCAGGGTTTCAAGTATGCAAGGCAAGTACTCCATGATTGACCCACATCCCCAGCCCTAAGAGATTGTTGATGGCTAATCAAGAAGGAGTTAGGTCTCATATCTAGGCTAGGCAACTCACTATTTGACTTTATTATTTTAATTGTATTAAAAATGAAGTCAGGGGCTGGGGATGTGGCTCAAGCGGTAGCATGCTCGCCTGGCATGCGTGCAGCCCGGGTTCGATCCTCAGCACCACATACAAACAAAGATGTTGTGTCTGCTGAAATCGAAAAAGTAAATATTGAAATTCTCTCTCTCTCTCTCTCTCTCTCTCTAAAAAAAAAAAAAAAAATGAAGTCAGTTTAGAGGATAAAGTAAAATCATCCAAATGTGATATTCAGTCTGGAAGAATTTCAGATGTTTTAATTTGTGTCGAAAGCAAATTGAAGAAGGAAATAAGATTTTTAGTTGAATAGGTCCATAAAATTTTAGAATTGGTTGGGATATAAATTCTACTCACCCATTTTGGTTTATCTCCCACAAAAATCTCCAGAATTATTAAAAATATTGATATATCTTTTTTTTAAAGAGAGAGAGAGAGAATTTTTTAATATTTATTTTTTAGTTTTCTGCAGACACAACATCTTTGTATGTGGTGCTGAGGATCGAACCTGGGCTGCACGCATGTCAGGCAAGCGAGCTACCGCTTGAGCTACATCCCCAGCCCTTGCTATATCTTTTGATTAAATATTATAGATGAAATGTCTGGGTTCCCAATCTTTTAAAATTATTGCATTGTATTTATACATAATAATGGGGTTCATTTTGAACACAAAGTAAATATTCAGTTAGAGAATACTAGTATGTGAAATATACTAGTCCTATACTAGTATGTGAAAACCCATCTCTGGACCACCTCAAGCACATGCTGAACTGCTAATGATTTCTTTTAACATATATTGTTCAAAACTGGACTAATGGCTCTGCTCTGCCTTGCCCTTCCTTTCTTTCCCTTTTACCTTTTTGAGTCTGCTGTAAAATGAGTCTATAGTAGTTGGAGAGACTAATGCATCATTGGACCCTGTCCTTTTTATGGCGTCCTTAAAGTTTATGATAGGAGATACCAAGATATACACAAATAACTAATATAGAATGAAAGTGATCAAATGATAATTGCCATTAAAAAAGTGTTTTTAAAAAGTAGAAGTGTGAGTTTTGAAAAGAGTAAATGCAAGGAGTCGTTGATGAAAAATAGTGGTTAAACTGAACCTTGAGGAATGAATAGGATTTAACCTAATATACAAGTGTAGTGGATGTTTGGAATATTAATGACTAAGTGGTGGCTTTAGATGGGGAGAGTGCATGCATTCTTGCAAAAATGAGATGAAATGAGTATGCTGTAGCCATGTGTGTTAGCTTCATTAAAAGGCTGCTGTGCTGGCAAACTGGCCTGTATTGCTGCTCACAGGGATTATAGCTGATTGCACATGGAATGCAGTGGAATATTTCTGCTATCAGATCTTTTATGAAAAAGTAGAAAAGTATAAAGAGTGCTTTAGGGAGTGCAAAATCTGAAAACTGAGTAGCAGCCATTTTACTTAAGCACTTTCTGAAATATTTTCCATGGCCTAGATAAATATTACTGCCTTGACATTTTAGAGTCCTGAGTGCATACAAATGTCTTTGTTCAAGATATCATTATATTCCAAGTTTCTCCCACTTAGGAGGCATTATTTATTTATTTATTGTTAATTTTTTTTTATTAGTTTCTTAAGACATTACAATGATCTTGACATCATACATTTGATTCAAATGGGGTACGTAATCTTATTTTTTTACAGATTGCAGGATCACATTGGTTGTACAGCAGGAGGCATTTTTTTTATTGTCTAATTTGTAAAAAGGAAAATGGGGAGTTAATGATTTAACTGCTCACATTTATGAATAAGTTTTATGTGTAAATCTGGAGATAGTGAACCTTCATAAATTGAGAGAAACAGGAGGTATATATAAGCTGGTGTTTCACTTACGATGTGAGATATATACTCCATTGGGTGATTGAGTTGCAGTATTTTGTTTTATTCTCCTTTGCCCAGGGTCTTCCACTGAGCTATATCCCCTGCCTTTTTTAGTTTTTTTTTTTTTAAGATAGGGGCTTACTAAATTGCCAGGACTGACCTATACTTTGGAATCCTCTTGCTTCAACCTCCTGAGTAGCTGGAATTACAGACACACTCTGCGGCAAGCCCTTTTTATTTTATTTTGAGACAGGGTCTCCCTAAGTTGCTTAGCCTGGCCTTGAACTTTCAGTCTTCCTCTTTCAGCCTCCCCAATAGCTAGGATTTAGGCCACCACACCTGGCAATCTTAGTTAATCTTGCAAATAAAGATGTTGTATACATATACCTGCTCATAGTAGGGAATAGGGCATATCATATACAAGGCATGTAAGTCCTTGCTTATAGTATGCTCATTTCAAAACCTTGTAGCCAGGTGTTTGCTCTTTTCCTTTCCAAAGTGGGGAATCTTTAATTTTTTGTATGTTTTTTCCACTTTTTAAATTGGTGAATTATAATTTTATGTAGTGATGGGATTCATTGTTACTTACAGGTACACAA